CTCAGGGAAATGAAACTCAAGGTAATGCAAGGCAATGCAAGGAAAGGCAAGGCGATGTAACACAAGGCACTGTAAGGCAAGGAAATGCAAGTCAGGTGGGGACCAAATCAAGTCATATTGGGACAAGACAAGTTTCTGCATCTCAAACTACTGTAAGTCAAGTTGCAACAACACAAGCATCGGTTGCACATGGATACATGAATGCAACTCAGTCTTCACAAGGAAAGGAAAACCAGGGCAAGGCACAAATGAAAAAGCTAGAAGAACTGGAAAGCTACAAAAAATAGGTGTGAGAAGGCCCTTTGTACCCCCAGGACCAACATCAAGACTCTTAGCAGCCAATAATGCAACCGGTCCTACCACCAGGCGATCTACTCCAACTAAGAGAAACACATCAAAGAGGACCATCTAGTTATAATTTTAGGGTTTATGTATTTTGGAACATGTCTATGTAACATGTCATTCTGTCAACCTTTTGGAATATGTCTATGTAACATGTCTGTATTTTGGAACATATCTATGTAATATGCCAACTACGTATTTTCAGTTTAAGTAATCTGATGTGTTCATTTACTAGAATGCCCAAACTTATGTTGCTACAATTAATGATATACCAAACTAATATGCTTTGATTAATGATATGCCAAAAAAAAATAAGTCTTATTAAACTGATAACATGTGTTAAAATTACACATAAGCTTGCACATAAATTTCCTAAACTGATAAAATTACACACAAAGTTGCTACATACTCCTACTCCTAATACAACTTAATGAAAAATACACATAACATTACAAAACACATAATCTTAAATGTTTTTTCCACTTCAACATCTTGTTCACTTGAATTTGAATTTCTAACACAGCATCCCCTAATTCTTCATTTCTAACCCTCAATTTTTCGTACCGATTCTTAGTTTCATCTAAATCCTTTGATATGATTTCTAATATATTAATCAATACTTGGTTTATGTCTTCTGCCAATTCCTCATGAAACCAATCGAAGAAGCCACATCCTCTTTTCAAGGATCCCTGCAAATTTTAAAAAATGATCAAACTCTGTTTACCATCTTCTAACATACCCAAACCAAAATTAGTGCTTACCTTGTAATTGTGACAACCCCAAAATTTCTTTCCGTAATTCTTCTCAGTGGTTGCCATATGAAGAACAACATTGTTTCCACAATGACAAAGTGGTGCAATTTGCGAGCTACTGTATACACATGACCAACATTTTCAGATTCATTCATGTTCATTGGGGAAGATGAATGCTTCGTATTCATGGAGAAAGGGCCGAAGATGAAGAAAGTAAAGAAAATTTTGGGAAGGAGAACGTAAATATGAAGGTGATGGGTATGTAAGAATATGATGGGTACAAAGATGATGAACGTAAAGAAAATTTTGTGAAGGAGATTTTCAGCAAGGTGAAGAACACATTCTGCATATAAAGAAGATGAAGAAATCTGCCAGCTCACCTGCCACGTCATGCAAATAAACGGACGTTGGAGGCCAATTGACGGAAGGACTAACGTGGTTGCGTTTTGAAACCTAAGGGATCAATTTAACACAAAAAAAAGATAAGGGACCAAAGTGAACCATGGCCTATAGTTAAGGGACCAAAATGAGTATTTTGCTCATTAAAATATTGTGTTACATGTTTATTTAAATTAAGTGTTACATGATCAACAACGGTGTGTGTATGTGTGTTTCGAGATGTGTAACATCCTATGTAAAAATATTGTGAAAAATCTCTGATTTAATTATAATTGTGCATTGGGGAAATATGGTGTTACATTAGGAGTCGACTCCCTCTGAAGCTTTTTAAAAAAGGGACTTTCTATTAAAAATGGGTCGACTCCCTGGCCATTTATAGTCGATACATAACACGAAGGAGTCGACTCAAAGTGTATTGCTCGAATCCTTCTGAAGTTTATTTTCAAAAATCACTTATTTTAAATTGGAGTTGACTCCCAATCTGTATGAGTCGACTCCATTGCTCTTAGGAGTCGACTCTCACTTTAAATGGGTTGACTCATACTGATCAAATTTTCCAAATTTGTCATTTTACAACCCTATTCTCTTTGTTTCATTCATTCACACACTTACACCTATATATAGTCATTCATGGATCATTTTTCAAATGAGAAACCAAAATTATACAAAGCAATTTCTCATTATCTCCATCCTCTCTCTATGCATACACATAAACAAATTACACATAATTATTCTTTGTTTAGGTGCCATATAGAGATAGCTTGATAACGTCCAATTAGGATTCATTGTAATGGATTAGGTTGAGAACTCTTTGGGGATTTAAAATAAGAAAACTAAGGTGGGGTTTTTCTTTAAAATTAATTGGTGGTTTGAAGGTTTTGGACAAGATTATGCAATTTAGATTCAACCGAGTGAAAGCTTCAAAGAACGGTGGGTTTGGTCGAAGGAGTAGCGTGAAACAAAGGATCAAATTGGTAAATGTTAGGTCATTATACGTTTTCAATTTGGATTTAGCCGAGTGAAGTCTTTGAAGAACGAGGATTCTTGCAAAGGAGTTGTGTGAGACGGAGGATTAAATTGGAAGTATCAGTTTCACTTGATCGAGCTCTTGATCAAGTGGAGAGAAGAAGATAGAATCAATAACATACTTAGGGTTTTGCTTGTTGGATTGCTACTTGTTCTCTTGCATTAATATTTTCGAATGGTTAATTTAATCATCACAATTCCAAACGGAATTGGGGGAAAACGTACCCATAGCGAGGATGATCGGGGAAATTCCTTAACAAATCATTGTGTTGCTCTCTTTCTCTTTTACTCTCTATTTTAAGTTTTGTTGCAAATTTTGAAAACTTCAATTGTGCGATCGATATGTCAAGATAATCTTAGGTTAATACCATAAACTGTTTTGTTGATTTGATTATAATCTTTGTGATTGTAATCGGTTTCTAACATCAATATAATCAAACAACGATCTGATTTGTATCGATTGTGTAATACCCCAAAATAATTATATTATCATGTAATTGATTTATGATGAATATTTATGAAGTATTTGTGAATATATGATGCCTTGTTGATAATGATGCGTGATGTCATACCATGTGTGAAATGGTGGAAATTAAAGTGATATTGGATGTTTTAATAATTTAGATAATTAGTATAATTATTTAGAATTATTAATTAGAATTACTAAATAAAGCAGTATATGGTGAAGAGATGATAAGGATAAGGAGGTAAATTTCACGAGGATAACTGAGGGTAAGATTGGAAATACATATTAGAGGTCCAAGGGTAAGTTAGACAAAAAGGAAGAATTGAGGTTTAGGGATTCATTATGCACGATCGCTTTTTTGTGAGAACAGTGAAACGCCTCTAAAAAACACTAAGACAATGAAGTCGCCACTAAACTTTATTTATCCCAAAGAGGGAAAGGAAAATATCAAGAAACCCTCTAAGATGAGAAAGAACATGGTTTCACAACCAAAAGAAAGGGTACGAAAGTGGATTACGCAAGGGGAAGGTATTAGCACCCCTCATGTCCGTTGTACTCAACGGGATCCACTATTGTTTGTTTTAATCTAAGGGTATGTCTATCTAAATGCTTTACTTGCTAAGGGAAATGCATGAATTATTTATTGGGAAAAATAAATTTTTTTTATTATTGCGTTCGTTTGAGTTTCGCAACTCAATGCGTACGTATCCCGCGAAGGAATCAAAACATCATAGTTCTTCTAAAAAATATTTGTTTGTTGTGTGTTTTTAATGGGTGACGAACCCTTTTTGAAAAGGTTAAAGAGGAAAAGGCCCTAAGGCAAAAATGATTTGGATTTGTTAGGAGAATTATCTCAAGTGGCTCCCTTAAGCAAGGGATACTTGAAAATTTTCTCCTTTAATTTTGAAAAGGGTTATGATAATGTTTAAGTGTTTTTGGATTTTTGATTAAGAAAATAAGTTAATTTTATTGATACAATGCAAAAGAAAGAAAGAAAATCTAATGGGAGACTTAATCCTAAGTGTTGTCATGCAAATATGGTCTTAACATTGAGATGAAAGGAAAAACTATCCTAGATGTTATCATGCCAAAGTTTAAAATCTAAAGTCTAACTCGACATTAAACGACCAAACAATGTTTAATCATTCAAAGGAGTTTCCTAAAGGAACATGGCAATTTCAAACAATCGAAAAAGAATAAAATTCTAATATTTTTGGGGGGTTTTCAAGCTAAAGAAATATTAAATTCAAAAGGAAACTAAAACCTAATTCTAAAATATTTTAATATTTTTTGTTATTTAAATCATGTTGAGAAAAGCAATAGAGCAAATCTTAAAATTAAATAAAGAACAAGTTATAGAAAAATATTGAAAATGAGAGCAACTGGGGGTGCTAAGCTAAAAAAAACGGTATGAGTCAGCAGATCCCTTGGGCGCAAGAGGCCCACTCATCTGAGTCCAAGAGAATATTTTTCTTGCTCAGTTTGCTTTTAGGTTGTAAAAAAATGAAAAATGAAATGGGCTCAGGACATTGATTTAAGCCCAACGAAATGCAATTAAACATGTATCATAAACTCAACATTATTATCCCATTACCACATTATTATTTAACAAAAAAATGATAACAAAACTAAAAAAAACGGTGAAACGTGGAATGGAGCAATACGGTGATAGCTAGGGTTAAGAATTAGGAAATTCCCAACTTCCTCTTCAAATGATTCAAACCAAAATATCTAATCTCTATTGCGCGCCACTACGACGATGAACAAATCTTAAACCTATTTGTCGGTCCCAATCGACCTCTTGCCTCTCCCCCTCAATTTGCCGACAAAACGTCGCCGTACCCTTACAGACAACCGCGGATCCCTTCATACCTCTGCTTATTTCAGTTTCAACCTCTTTTCTTCTCATTATTTAACAAGAAAATTATGAAAAAAATCCTAGAATCTTCCAAGCATGGTTACATGAATATCGACGAAGAATCAACACCTAAAACCTAATCCACATATTCTATGATCTAATATAAAGACCAAGCGAGGAAAATGAAGAACTGGATGAACTCAAGCATACCAAAATGACAGTGGCTAGTCCTGGATATTGTTGCAATGCTTTGAAGATGAATATAAGAAGTCCATAGATTCTCTATTTTAGGTATTTGTAAGCTTCTTCCTTCTCCTTCGATTCTACTTCTCTCTATTACTTTTGCGAATTTCTTTTTGGTTATCATGTGTTGTTGATTGTTGTAGTGTAATCATGAGTTGAATGTGTGGTGATTGTGGTGTTATGTTGATGATGAAGCAGGTCGCAAGATGATGATATTAAATTTAAAGGATGCGACTATTTGAGGGTGAGGTAAGGCAAGCGAAATTGGATGAGTATAAACAGGTTTGTTACATGTCTCTGAGAGTACGGTTGGAGGGAGTTTGGAAGAGATTATGCGGGGTGTATTGAAGGTTGGTATATTGTGTTTGAGAGGAGCTTTTTTGGGTTTCAGCAGTGAGTACGGTTTTTCTGTAGGGAAGTGTTTTGGAGGTTTGTGGAGCAAGGCTGCAAGGTTGTGGTGTAGAGGTTGTATTGAGGACTGATTTTTCGTGTGAAGAAGAAGAACTAAGCAAAGAGTTTTATAAGGTATTGATATCTGTCTTCTCCTCCCTTTCTACAGTGTGAAGCCCTGTTTTCATAAAGGACCAAGAGTGAGTTTTTTGGGGGGGAAATGAGCGATTTGAACAATTTGAGTGCGCTGTTTTTCTACTTTTTCCTGCAGGTTTTGTATTGTCATTTTTATGCAATTCTTGGACTGGTTAGGACTGGTGTAGGGCAGCAGTAGCAGGACTGCTTTGACAGGTTTTTTTGACAGTTTTGTTTGGCTTTTATGCAGGGCAATTTTACTGGTTTGTTAACAGGATGGCACATCACAAGTTTTGGCAGCATGATAGTAGTGTGGACAAGGTTGTAGGAGGCTTGTGCAGGGTGTTCTTTGGACTGACTTTAGTCATGAGATGAAGAAAGATGAAGATTGGGTGAATTTGGAATTAGACCACTTTAGCTTGTAACAAGATGCTATTTGAAAAATGTAATGGTACGTCTTGATGCAATTTTTTTGTAACTCACCAAAGTATAATGGCCAATCATAGTTTGTAACCTTGAAAATAAAATATGAATGAAACTTGCTTTTTTGAGGGAACTTGAACCAAGTTGCAAAGTTTAAATGAATATGAAATTTTTGAAATGTCCTTGCACTTTGATATTTCTTATATGATCTTGTATGGACCATAGCCATTGTTGCATTTTGTTGCATTCATGTTAAAAAAACCTCAGTCATGTAATCATAGACTTTTGTAAGTCGAAAAAACTTTTTTGAATCTTATTGAGAATTCCTTCCACTTGCACTTTGGTTTTTGAAATAAATTTTTGCACTTAAGAGTGATGATACATACCAATTGAAAATGACTTTTGATTCATAGTTAGATGAATGAACAAAACCTTGATGAAATTTTCAAATATTGAAACCATAACCATGACTTTGACTATTACTCTTTATTCCGTATCCAAATCCCACCATGCTCCCATGATCTCACATGAACAATTGTGTTGTACTCCAAAATTTTCCCTCCCATTATTCAAGACACGCTCCTAGGGTTTCCATTTTCTCAAGGTTATTCAAGAATTGATCAGACAAATTCTCCTCCAAAGCAATGGACCTACAACTAGAGTTTCACTTTTCTCAGGGAAATTTGAGCTTATAATGCCTCAAGTGGATTTCATGGTTTCTTATATGTCTCTAAGAATGCGCATGCCATGTTCCAAGCTTTGCATCACAAGTTTGCTCAGTCAATTGCTCAAATGACTAAAAATCAATTGTATTGGACAAAAAGTCAACTGTGGTCAACATACAGTCAAACTTCAAGATTTTTAGTCAACATCAACATTTTGAATTCATATTCATAATTTGATCAAGGGTTGATCACGATTCATCAAGAAAACTCTCAATTCATCAAAAGTCAAAAGTTTCCAAATTAGGGTTTTCTTAAGGAGAAGTCAACTAAACTTTGACTAAGCATAAATTTCACATGCTTCATCCGGTTTTCCTCAACCAAAGTCCATTTGAAGGAAATTCAATTCTCTAAAACTTAATCTCTCTAATCTCAAGTCCAAAAAATGCTTCGTCTGAGAGATATGGGCCAATACATTATAGGTCATTTCAAAAGTCAACAAAAAGACACTTTTTGTCAAGGCAACTTACATCAAGATAATATCTTCAAATGCAAAAATAATCACAATAGGGATTGTAGAGAACATCTTGGGCTTTCCAAAAAGTCCCAGATCACCTTCATATGATGAAAATTGAGAGAGTTGTGATTGGTGCAAGTTGGGAAAATTTGAGCAAATGCATGAAACCAAAAGTGATCAAACTTGGATTTTTGGGCTAATGGGCTATTGTTTCAAGGTCTATGCATGTGATAAACTTCATAATGAACATCTGAATTACTTCATGTACCCTTTTACCTTTTATTCTATTTGTTTTGATTTTATTTATTTTAAATTCAAATTAAATAAGATAAAAGTCAAGGTTCTTCTTACAAAGGTCCAAGCCCAAATGATTTGACCTAATTCATCCTTATTTATAGCCTCACTCATTCAGATGAGACACACGAACCCTTGCAACAAGACACCATTCCAAACTTCCAAAAAATTCCAAGAACTAGGGAAACTTGTAAACCCTAGTTACGACTTCTTTCCACGCGAACCACCATCCAATTCACTTCCACCAATACTGTAGGGTAATAATAGAGCATTTTTGAAGATCCAAAGAGCATGAAATGTTCGTATATGCATCACTGATCTCCATCGTTGCATTATTTTCATATCTATGCTTTCATTATGTTTTTTCACATACTAACTTTGCTAACATGTTCATGAGGTTTAATAGTGCAGGAATAATCCAAAGCATGATCCCCATAATGGCCAAATCGAAGCTTGCCATCTTCATACCAATTTGAGTTATTTTTGTTGTAGCTCATAAACCAACACGTTTTAGCCAAAAATAGTACTCCCATTGAACTCACAAGGCCTGATTTAGGGGGGTAGGGTACCTTTTGAATCATTAACAAATTCTATTTTGCAGAAACAAAGAAAAGGGTCACCGAAGAAGACGACCGAAGCTAGGGCTCCGACGCTTTTCCGGTCCAGGAAATCTTGTTTATTTTATATTTATTTTGTTTCACTGATAATAATAGATGTATCACCACCCCAATTGTAGAAGAGCGCGCGATAAGGCCTTACTATGCCAGGACGTGGGTTCGATCCTTGCCTTTTGTTATTTTGGGGTTTTTCTTACATTTTTCATGTTTTGAAGATTGTTAACATACAAAGCGCACTGATTTCACTCATTTGACACCAAAGCGCGCTTGGCACAGTGGCAAAGCTTGCAGGAGGAAAGGCTAAGGGTGTGGATTCAACACCCGCCCCTGGCATTCTATTGTATTTTTTTCTATTTTCATCAAATTTTCCCTTAAAACCTCTAAATTCATTTAACCATGAACCATAAAACCATTTCTTTTACAAACCCTAAAAATAATTAGGTTTTAGGTGTTTATCATTAACCTTTTTTTCAATTAATTTTAATTAAAATTAATTAGACTTTTTAGGTTTATTTAATTAATCGTCAAAAACCTTTTTTGTCAAAGATCACCAAAAACATTTTTCGTTTTCCTTTCTCTTATTCTTACATTCTTTTTTGCGTAGCTTATTCTTCTCACATTTTTCTCGATTATGCAAATGTTTATGGTTTGTAATAGCTTAGGGTTTTTAATTTCCGCTTTTCTATTTTGTAACTGCCCCGAAGTGATGTAATAATTTAGGGTTTACTTTTTGCCTTTATTTTCCGCACTGTACATTTTTTGTATTCTATATTTGCTACTACTGCTTAGCAATTAGGATTTGTATGGAAATATTAAATCTAAATGATAGAAAACCCTAACTTCAAAGATAAAATAACTGAACATAACACACAAACACTTTGTACGCATTCTTGAGGACTGATACAAGAATCATTATAAAGTTAGCCTTTCATTGTTTTTTTTAAATATTTTTAAATCACACACACACAAAGCAAGTTTTTCAAAAGTGAGCTAAGTAATTAAGAGCCCATAAATGACTACAAATGAAAAGGGTGCTAACACATTCACTTTTCATAACCTACCCCCTAAACTCAAAATCTTCAAGGTCTTTTCTGTTCTTTTCACCCTTTCCTTATTGGATAAAAGAAAAGTCAGTGGCGACTCTAGATATCTGTAACATTTGTGATAAAACGCAAACCAAGTCAGTTCTCCCACCGTATTATAGAACTGACAACTATGTTGGGGAATATTTAAAAGAAGGGTTACCTTAGAGTTAGATCACTTAAAATTGTTTGCTTTACATTTGATGGTTGTTCGGGTTTATTTTCTTGCAAAGATCCTATGTAACGGCCCATTTAAATACTTAGTCATTGTTTGTTGATTTTGATTTTGATTTTGGCATTCTGTGGTGAAACTTAGTTTTAAGGGATAATAATAATATTATTAATATGATAGTGTTGTACCCCAAAATTTACCCTCCCATATTCTTCAAGAAATTGCCAAGTCAAGCTTCAAATCTCCTCAAGGGTTGCACAGTGCAAGGGCCTCCTAAGCAGGCAAAATTAGGGTTTTGGTTCTGATCAAGAAAATGAAGTTTCAAAGGGCCCAATCAAGTCCCACATGCCTACAAATATGGTCAAGCATCCTCATATCAAGTTTCAAGACTTTCAGCACAAAATTGCACAGTCAAAAACCCTAATTGCACTACAGTCAACTGTAGGGGCAAAATGGTCATTTGGCAGTCAAAAGTTCAAATTTTTGGTCAACATCTCATTTTGAAGCCACAAAAATCATTTGATCAATGCTTGATCATGATTCTCAAAAATGTGGCTCAAAAAGTCTCAAGATGCAAAAGTTTCTATTTTTGGACAGTTGAAAAGTCAACTGTAACTTGACCAAGGCATAACTTTTTCATGGTTCATCAGAAAAATCACATACAATGCTCATCTTGAAGGGGGAGACATTTCCTACAACTCATCTTCACACTCCAAGTCCAAGAAATGCTCTCACAAAAAGTTATCAATTTCAACATTATAGGTCATTTTCAAAAGTCAACAAAAAGGGACTTTAAGTCAAAGGCCATAACTTGAGATTGGTAAATCAAAAT